GGGTTAGATTTTTCTTGAGGGGTAGGATGCAGTGTGCCTGACCTACATCAAACACTTGTGGCTCATATTGCTGAGTCGGCGTATTTGTTGTGACGGTCGAGTGTGGATTGATGACACATGCAGAACACTCGTAATGGCTTGCACTGTGGCTTAACGTGGGGTGCCACATGAGACACACTTAACGCTTGCTATTACAAACACAAGATCGGGTGACGAGCGATATGGGTCATCGCATACTACATGTGTAACCAAAGTAACTAAAGAATGAATGTAAATGAGGGGAAATAGCTTAGGGAGTAACCAAGCAATGTGATTGGTTACTCATAGTAAATAAGATATTTTATAACTAAACTATTGTAATAGATTGTAAGCATGTTGTAGTATATATATCGGCGATGAGCCGAGAAATAAACATTCTTTCACTCAATTCCAAATTGACGTGTCTGAAACAGAGGGGTTATACGCTTGAGAAAAGCAGCCGGAGGGCTTAGTATAATACTCAAACCATTAGAAAATTATAACCAAACATTACAATATGAAATCAATCACATATTCTTGGAGAAAAATTGGAGTTATTGGAAAAGGGGCGTGACACCTCACATACAACCGAATTTTTCACACTGTATATCTCTGGGCGATGTGGTGTAGTGAAAGCAGTGCGCGCTTCCACTCCGCAACGCCTGGGTTCAAAGCCTGGTCAAAGCAACATCGCAAAAAAATATAGAAAAAAGGCTTTTCCTTAACAGCGGTCGTCCCTCGGCAGGCAATGGCAAACCTCCGAGTGTATTTCTGTCATGAAAAACAGCTTCTCATAAAAATACAATCGCCGTTCGGAGTCGGCGTAAAACTGTAGGTCCCTCCGCAAAGTGTAACAACATCAAGGCGCACGCCACAAGTCGGAGGAGAAGCTCGGCCAAACACTAACATATGTGTGTAAGCGCCAATCTATTATTATTATACCTCTGGAAATGGTCATGATAGATTACTGAAACTTGGTATGGAGGTACTATGTAAATGAAATCAATCGCATACTCTTGAGAAAAATTTGAGCTATTGTGAAAGCGCGTGGGCCCTCCCATACAATACGAATTTTTCATACTGCATTTCTCTGGAAGTGTTCATGGTACAGCACTGGAACTGAGTAGGGAGATATATGATATAATTCGCATACTCCTGAAGAAAAATTCAGACTAATTGAAAAGGGAGCGTCCCACATAAACCGAATTTTTCATAATAAGTATCTCTGGAAGTGTTCATGCTAGAGTACTGGAACTTGGTATGGAGATACTAAGTATATGAAATCAATCGCATACTCTTGAGAAAAATTGGAGAAATTTTTGAACTTGGTACGGAAATATATAAAATCAATCACATACTCATGGGGAAAAATTGGAATGAGTGGAAAAGGGGCGTGGCACCTCATATACAAACCGAATTTTTCATACTGTATATCTCTGGAAATGTTCACGGGAGAGTACTGGAACTTGGTATGGAGATATATGAAATCAATCCCATACCCATGGAGAAAAATGGGCTCTTTGAAAAGAGGGCAGGGCAAAGTACAGTAAAACCCGCTTAAGTACCTCACGCAAAATGTCAGCTTTTTGAGGTACTTAGGCGGGTTGGGTACTTAAAAGAACCCGCTTTAGTACCTCGATGCGGGTACCTAAGCGAACATAATTATTGATGTAGTTACATCTTCTTGTTAACTTGCATAAATATGTAAATCATTGATGGAAACATGAATATTTAATGAAGTATACGTGGTTTAAAACCAAGTTCGTAGCATTATTTAAATGGATAAACAAATAAAAAAAATGTATTAAAAAAATAAATAAAGCAACGGTATGTAATTGTTATAAGAATTATATTCTTTAAAAAGTCATTTTATATATACATAATTATACTTACATACAAACAGTGTCGGACATATCATTTTGGACCAAATTCAGAAAAATTTTGTTTGCCAGCTATGTTTATTTATTAATTTTTCAGATTTTTCAATTAAAATACAGTTCATTCCTTAATAAATACCATATAAACCTAAGTTTAAGAATTTGTAGAATACTAAAAAATCATCAAAATTTCAAACTTTTCCTCATTTTTATTGCCCATTCAATTTTAGTGTAATAATGTGCAAGTTTCAACTGGCTAAAAATTACCGTTAATTTTTTTGCCGAAGTTGTGTAGCGTTGCCACTGAATTTCAGAATATGTAAATATTTTGAGGAATCTTAAAAGAGCACTTAAAAGGGGAAAATTATAAGTAAAATGGTAAATGGGGTACGTAAAATTTAGGTACTTAGGCGGGTTGGGCAAATAAGCATGGAGGTACTTAAGAGAGGGATTTTCTTCAGATTATATTAAAAAATTCACGGTGCACAAAAATATTGGTTACTTAAGCCCGCTTAGGTACTAAAGCGGGGGTGTACTTAAGCGGGTTTCACTGTACAAACGTACTGACTTTTCCTTATCTTTGAATGTGTATATAATTCTTCTCTAGGTATGTTTGTGAGTGAAATCCTAAATGGCTGGAGGGATTTCAACAAAGTTGTGTGTGTGTGTTTGAGTGGGTCTCTGGATAATTTAGTTTCACAATTTTACCCGGCAGTTGGGGCTGGAGTTGAGTTATTACTAAAAATCTTTTTTTATGATCCGATTTGACGAATGTTCAAAACATGTATTGGAAACGGTAAAGGCAGTCCAATTGCAAAAAAAAGAGCTGTGAGGTGATGCTGAGGTCGAGTTATTAAGTACTAAAAAAGCGACAAGTGAGAAAAGGTGTCGTGAATGTCAGACTAAATCGACCTGTTACACCATTGAGTATATCGAACTCTCTTGTGTTACGATTGGCCCAATGGATGTGATTTGCCAATATTATTATGCGTTAAAGCTTCACTCGGACACATCTCAAATCAACACCTGTCGAAATACCTTATAAGCCAGTTTCATAAAAGCAATTTAATGAAAATTTATTTTATTAATTGAATTTAATATAGAACCTTTACAGAAAAAAAAAAATAATTGTTCACTTAAATTGCTTTCGTGAAATTGGCTTTTAAGGTACATATCTCATCTCAGTCTATGTATGTATATTGTATTTCTGTTGAACAAGGATACGCATCTATTTTGAAATTGCCACCAACTATAAGATAAAGTTTCTAGGGCAGATTCACTATAGATCCGGATCATTGTGCCGCCAGGGAACTTCTTCATGAACATAACACTTTCGTTAGGTTATTTAAGGCGGTAAACGACCACCAAACCATAATCTTAGCCGATGAATGTGCCAATAGTCATCGTAAACGTGGACTGTTGGAGAAAATGTTGGCTCAAAATGGTTAAATGAAAAATCTAATTTTGGGCGACACGAAGTTCGCCGGGTCTGCTAGTAATAATAATAATAATAGATTGGCGCTTACACATATGTTAGTGTTTGGCCGAGCTTCTCCTCCGATTTGTGGTGTGCGCCTTGATGTTGTCACACAAAGCGGAGGGACCTACAGTTTTACGCCGACTCCGAACGGCGATTGTATTTTTTTGAGAAGCAGTTTTTCATGGCAGAAATACACTCGGAGGCTTGCCATTGGCTGCCGACGGACGACCGCTGTTAAGAAAAAAACCTTTTTCTATATTTTTTGCGATGTTGCTTTGACCAGGGTTTAAACCCAGGTGCTGATGAGTGAAAACGCGCACTGCTTACCACTACACCACCGCGGCCGACAGCGGGTCTGCTAGTATATGTACAAATATGCCAATAATGTTACCAATAACGAGTTTTTGGGAAATATTTTAGCCTTTGCCCCATAAACTATAGAAGTACATTTTAAATAAACGAAAACAGTTTACTATTAGTTTTAGGGTCTAGGACAGTGCCCGCCAAATACTTTCCTGGGAAACGAACTATATTCGGCTTTTCACATGTACACAATCGGCTTCTTACACGTACACAATCCGAACGTCAACCGAAAGAGTAGAAGAGCAACAAATTTTATTTAGTTGCATGCAAACAACAGGCGAAGTAAGTTGATGACGCATTATTGTTGAATAAAGTAGGTACACTGAGCAGAATGAATGAATATTCATTCAAAAATTTTAAACACAATTTTTCGAACATACACCCCTAGAAATAGGTATGTACCTATATGGTCCCAAGTCGTGCTTTTCTTCATATTAAAAGAACTTTGTGAATTATGTATTTTTTTTTAATACCAGACTAGTCCTCAATTAAAACATACAATATGTTTTGTTATTTATCTTTTGGTTTAATCGTTATTTTAAATTGTTCTTAAATGTCAAGTTTTACCTAATTTTAAAATAAATATATATTAGATATATATATTTTTATTTTATTTCTACTTGAAATCAACGAAATTTTCTTTTGATATTCTGAGTGCTCGAAGCACGTTATCTTTTTTGCTCAGAAATCCATACTTAAATTATAAAAAAATAATACTTTTGTACAATACATACAAAATTTTACCAACTTTTTCCTTTCTTAGGGCCGTTAACTTTGATTATATGTTTCTATGTTGTTTAGATCTAAAAAATAACGCACAACGAAAAAAACGGCAAAAAAACATACCAAAGTTTTTATAATAAGTAATACAACACAGAAATTTTTTTCCGTGCATTACCACCAACACTTTCTCATTTTTTGTTTCATAACTAATACATTCTCATTTTTAGACTTTTCTCTTTTTGGCGGGCACTGGTCTAGGAAAATCGAAAAAATATAGTATTGTCAGCTTTCACATGACCAGGGATGACAGCGCAACTAGTACCACATGAGTTCCAACCGTCCAGCTCTGCATACCTTTTGTAGTAGTTCAAAGACAGTTCTGAAATTTGTAGGGCGGAACTAGCGCTTTGCCAAATTTGCTGCAGGGTTTCCTTCCTTTAGATTGCAGCGACCATAAACCCGCGTGTTAAGTCGCGTACTCCATTCACAATTTTTGTTTTCTCTTTCAGCCTTTTATTTTATGCTCTCTACTTTGAACTTCACTGGAATTTGTCGGGACATTTTAATGACGGACGTTATCTTCTCTCTTGTAGGTGTCTCAGCTGAGCTGTACTATGTGCGCGATGGCCAAGTCAACGATTATGCGATCAACTTTGCCGTCCCCGTGCCGGCGAACGTCAACGAGATCTCGTTCACGTGGCAAGGTCTAGCCCACCATCCGCTCCCATACAGTGTCAACATTATTACATCAGAGCCGTTCGTGCTGCCGCGTCCAATGTTGAATATTTCGCGAATCGGTGAAATTCCGCTGGAGCCACAGACATTCGCTGTCAGCCTAAAGTGTTCTGGTACGCGCGACGCTGAAGTTGAGGTCACCATTGCCATCGAAATAATACTGGACAGAAAGACGAACAATGTCACTGATCTGATGTTCAGAAGGAAAAAAATTTGCCTTGCCGGGCCACAGGATGAGGGCCGCCATGGCAGTGGCAACAGTAGCAGTAAAGGTGGTAGCGCCAGCAGCATCAATATGCACATTAACCAACCGGGTGAAGGTATTCGCAAAGACGCTACCGTCGGTAGTGCCGCACATGAAACGGAAATCGTTAAGGTGGGCGAGGATAGTGTGAGTGGGCATGTGAGCAGTAGCGACGGGCAGCATACAATAGATGAAAATTTGTTGGATGGTGGGCGGTTGAGTGGAATAGGCACTGTGCTGCATGACTTCGATCCAATGCTGAAAGAGACTCTGGCACCACCGTCTAGTGGAGTCACAACACTTATTGTGGGTGGGATCTTAGCCCTGTTGCTGGTGACCACACTTCTCATTATCGCCTATTGCGCCAAGGGCCCTACGAAGCGCCAAAGCCATGGTGTACATCTCATAAAGACATCCAGTTTTCAACGTTTGCCGACCATATCATCAACCGCACATAACTCCATCTACGTGTGTCCATCAGTGATTGCGCCAACTTATGCGACTCTCACGCGACCATTTAGAGAGTACGAGCATGACCCCGAGGAGTTCAATCGACGCCTCAACGAACTTACAGTCCAAAAGTGCCGCGTCCGTCTGTCGAGTCTGGTTCAGGAGGGCACATACGGTCGCATTTATAAAGGCACTTACAACGACTGCCAAGAGGTGATGGTCAAAACGGTCGCCCAACATGCTAGTCAAATACAAGTTTCACTGCTGCTACAAGAAGGTATGATGCTGTACGACGCGGCCCACCCTAACGTACTCTCCATATTGGGAGTCAGTATTGAAGATTTCACCACACCATTTGTGCTCTACCCGGCGGAAAATAATACACGAAACCTTAAGTTGTTCTTGCAAGAGCCGGCATATGCGCGGAATGTCACCACCATCCAGACCGTTCTCATGTCGTCGCAACTCGCAATGGCTATGGAACACCTGCACAATCACGGTGTAATACATAAGGACGTTGCGGCCAGGAATTGCGTGTAAGTAAAAATAGTATGCGTTCCTTATATCAACCCCTTTGCGCGAAATTATCGTACGTTCAATTTTTTCTAAAGGTGTAGAATTATGAAAAAATGCGAAGAGTCCGGTCAGTCAAATTCAATATGGTTATTGTAAGAATTTATCTACCGCCAAAAGTAGTTATCTAAAAGCGTAGACAGGTGGCAGCGTTGCTCGGGATCAACTCGTTAATTCGTAATTATCTCGATAATTAACTGCAGTTGATACGGATTAAGTCCTAGGCTTGATTCCCAAACTTAACTCGGATCAAGGGAATATTCGATGACCAAAACTCAGAGAGCGTAGAATACAGAGAAAGTGCAAAACTGTCATGGACATATACCTTTTCATCGGTAATGCAGTCACCATACAAATTCAGATAGGAATCCAATTAAAATTGAATAAGAACTTATTTGAATTAATACGGTGACTACATTACCGACGACAAGGTGGATGTCCATGCTAGTTTTGCATTTTCTTTGTGTTATACGCTCCCCGAGGAAGCAAATGCCAACTACTTAATCCGCGGTAGCCGAGTGGTGAGGACTGCGTTCTATAAGCCTGCAGGTCCCACAGTCGGTCCTCGGTTGCAGCGAATTCGAGGGATGAAGACGTCTTCACCTTTGAAAGGCCACGATAAAATCTTTGCTTCCACTACGTTCTTCATCAATTTCTTAACTGCGAGTCGCCTGCCGATGCAGAGTTTTGGCTCATTAATATTCCGCAACATGATAATTGCCACACCTTTTTTCAATTTCAGTATAAGGGGTAACCTCTGGAAGATCAATCGAGTTCAAAAATTCCGTTTGATAATTAACTGCTTCATTTGCTGCCACAACGGTGTTTATCGACGTACATTTTTGTTATTTCAACACTTTGAATGTTGGATTGAAAAACATTATTGAGTTGATAGACATCCTTATTCTTCGCGCAAAGAATACCTCCTTCACTGAGCTAATCGTGATTTCTATAATTAACTTGAATATCCGGAAACATTCTTTCGATCTGTTCTCCTCAAGCGATTTTTATGTGCCATAGTGCACTCATCCCAAACAATGAGTTTACATTTTTGTAATAAGTAATTCTCCCGTACCGGATGTTGTTGAAATATTGCACGTGGGAGTTTCGATGATTTGTATAAGCTAAATGAGAAGTGCTTCTACCTGGCAATTATGTCGCAGATATTCCAGACGAACCGAGAGCTTCGGCTACGTAATTTTTTCATCTAACCGTTGCCACAATCTTATAAGGAATGTTTTCCTAGTTCTTTTGCACATCCAAGAAGATGTTCCCACAACTGCGTCATTTATCATTTGCATCTGCTTATTTGGCGCTGTAACCGCATAAGCGATTTCGGCCGAGTTCGACAAAGCACGCCAGTCGTTTCTCCCTGTGCCAACTTACGCCAATCGGAAATGCCACGTGAAGTCAAGTCCATATCCACTTGGTCCCTCCATTTCAGTGGGCGCCTCCCTCTTCCTCTGCTACCACCAGCGGATTGCGAGTCGAATACTTTTAGACCTGGAACGTCGGTTCCCATTCGAACGACATGGTCAAGCCAGCGGAGCTGCTGTAAATCTCATAAAACTCATCGTTCCATCGTCTGCGTTACACACCGTCGCCAACGCGTAGGGGCCTGTAAATCTTCCGTAAGATTGTTCTCTCGAATACTCCAAGAGTCGCCCCGTCAGATGATGTCCGCGTTATATACCAGCACAGGCAAGATGAGTGACTTATAGGGTGTGATCTTTGTACGACGAGAGAGAACTTTACTCCCGAATTGCCTACTCAGTCCAAAGTAGCACTTGCTCGCTAGAGTAGTTCTGCGTTGGATTTCGATGCCGACATTATTATGGTTGTTATGCTGGTTCCTAACTAAACAAAATTGTCTAATTTCTCGGAATTACAACTGGCAAAAGTGACGTGGGTGCCAAGGCGCGAATGCTCTGACTCTTTGTTTGATGACAGGAGATACTTCGTATTGTCCTCGTTGATCGATCACCAGACCCAATCACTTTGCTTCGTTATCCAACTTGGAAAAGGCAGGATAGAGTTCGAGGTTTTTATTACCGATAATGTCGATGTCAACGGCATACGCCAGAATTTACACGCCCTTGTAAAAAATTGTTCGTGAGTGGTTCAGTTCTGCAGCTCTTATTATCTTAATATTTGCATCATGCGATCATAAAAATGCGAAGCAGCTCATCTAATTTAGCAAACAAAAAATTCTGGAAAAAGTGGATATTTTTATGTAGATGTGTATTAAACTAAGGTAGATTCTTGATAATTTAAAGTTGGAAAAACTCAAAGCTCAAGCAGGCACATTTTTCTACTCGCAATATATGGCGCCAAATGAAATTATTTGTGATTAAAAGTTAATAGTTTTATAGTGTTAGGGAATGGTGACTACAATTTTAAGTTTCCATTGAGGACTTTTTAAACAGCTTTCATGGGATACTTTCATCTTTTCGTTACGGTTTTTATTATTTTTTCACTTGTATCAGTAGTTTTTTATATATTTTTTTCCATTGCGAAATTTGTATAGCAACCCTTCGTTGATAATATGATCACTTGGTTTGATACGATTTTGTAAATTCTTTCTTCGTTTAAATTGTTCAGCTTCTGGATAAGTGGAAACATTAAAAAAAAAGTTATCTAGTGAAGCTTTCCCTAACAATTTGCGTTTAGAACCAATTATGTAATATTTCATTTAGTTCCAATATTTGCAGTCTTTACTTTTAGATAGGGCATACTCCTACTGAAAATATTTCTCAAATTCCTTTAGTTTTGAACCGATATTGTAACATTTCTTTTATTTTACCAATTTAATTGAGTTAAATTTTCAATAAGGTGGCCACCCTCCTCAAACATATTTTCGACCCAAAATTGCAATATTTCATTTGTTTAATCAATTTAACTGAGTCAAAGTTTTCGAATAGGTGGTAACCCTCCTCAAAAGTATTTCCAAAATTCTTCTTTCTTACACCTCTTTAATTTGATACCGATATCAATTAAATTGAGTTACATTTTCAAACAGGTGGCAACCCTGCTCAAACATATTTTTGGCTGTAAGTCTTCTTTAAAATCTAAGGTTTGATACCCAAATTGAGGTATTTCATTTATTTTATCAATTTCACTGAGTTAAAATTTTCAATGAGGTGGCAATTCTACTCAAAAATATTTCTTAAACCAATTAAAATTTAATATCTATATTGTAATATGTCATTTAGTTTATCAATTGCGCTAAACTTTTCAACAGGTGGCAACCCTCCTTTCAAATATTTTCGACTGTAAGCTTTCTTAAAACTCTTTAGTTTCATATCCACATAGCAATATTTCATTTACTTTATCAATTTAACTGAGTTAAAATTTTAAAATAGGTGGCAACCCTCCTCAAAAGTATTTCAACAGTTGTCTTTCTTAAACCTCTTAAACTCCATATTGTAATATTTAATTTATTTCATCAATGTAATTTAGTTAAATTTTAAAATAGGTGGCAACCCTTCTCAAAAATATTTCCAAGAGTTATCTTTCTTAAACTTCTTTAATTTGATACCCATATTGTAATATTTCATTTATCTTATCTATTTGACTGAGTTAAAGTTTTCGACATATTTCCAACAGTTATCTTTAATTTGATACCCATACTGTAATCATTCATTTATTTTATCATTGATCCTGGTATTATACTGAACAATACAAAAACAATATATTTAGATCGGTTCAGCCGTTCTCGAGTTTTGACGACCGTGACATACGAACACAACATTTTTATATAACGGGTGATTTTTTTGAGGTTAGGATTTTCATGCATTAGTATTTGACAGATCACGTGGGATTTCAAACATGGTGTCAAAGAGAAAGATGCTCAGTATGCTTTGAAATTTCATCATGAATAGACTTACTAACGAGCAACGCTTGCAAATCATTGAATTTTATTACCAAAATCAGTGTTCGGTTCGAAATGTGTTTCGCGCTTTACGTCCGATTTATGGTCTACATAATCGACCAAGTGAGCAAACAATTAATGCGATTGTGACCAAGTTTCGCACTCAGTTTACTTTATTGGACATTAAACCAACCACACGAATGCGTACAGTGCGTACAGAAGAGAATATTGCGTCTGTTTCTGAGAGTGTTGCTGAAGACCGTGAAATGTCGATTCGTCGCCGTTCGCAGCAATTGGGTTTGTGTTATTCGACCACATGGAAGATTTTACGCAAAGATCTTGGTGTAAAACCGTATAAAATACAGCTCGTGCAAGAACTGAAGCCGAACGATCTGCCACAACGTCGAATTTTCAGTGAATGGGCCCTAGAAAAGTTGGCAGAAAATCCGCTTTTTTATCGACAAATTTTGTTCAGCGATGAGGCTCATTTCTGGTTGAATGGCTTCGTAAATAAGCAAAATTGCCGCATTTGGAGTGAAGAGCAACCAGAAGCCGTTCAAGAACTGCCCATGCATCCCGAAAAATGCACTGTTTGGTGTGGTTTGTACGCTGGTGGAATCATTGGACCGTATTTTTTCAAAGATGCTGTTGGACGCAACGTTACGGTGAATGGCGATCGCTATCGTTCGATGCTAACAAACTTTTTGTTGCCAAAAATGGAAGAACTGAACTTGGTTGACATGTGGTTTCAACAAGATGGCGCTACATGCCACACAGCTCGCGATTCTATGGCCATTTTGAGGGAAAACTTCGGAGAACAATTCATCTCAAGAAATGGACCGGTAAGTTGGCCACCAAGATCATGCGATTTGACGCCTTTAGACTATTTTTTGTGGGGCTACGTCAAGTCTAAAGTCTACAGAAATAAGCCAGCAACTATTCCAGCTTTGGAAGACAACATTTCCGAAGAAATTCGGGCTATTCCGGCCGAAATGCTCGAAAAAGTTGCCCAAAATTGGACTTTCCGAATGGACCACCTAAGACGCAGCCGCGGTCAACATTTAAATGAAATTATCTTCAAAAAGTAAATGTCATGGACCAATCTAACGTTTCAAATAAAGAACCGATGAGATTTTATGCGTTTTTTTTAAAAAAAAAGTTATCAAGCTCTTAAAAAATCACCCGTTATATAGATAGATAGATACAGATTCCTAGATCAAGATTACTCAAATGCCTTTAGTTTGGTACCGATATTATAACATTTCATTTATTTTCCGAATTTAATTGAGTAAAATTTTCAAACAGGTGGCAACCCTCCTCAAACATATTTTCTACTGTAGGTCTTTTAAAAGCTCTTTAGTTTGCTGCCCACATCGCAATATTTAATTTGTTTTATCAATTTAACTGAGTTAAAATTTGCAAATAGGTGGCAACGCTCCTCAAAAATATTTCCAAAAGTCTTTTTTCTTAAACCTCTTTAATTTGATATCTATATTAACTAATGTAACGAAGCCTTGCACCTAGTGTGGCTGTGTTAGTATGTGAGCGTATCCACCGGATGTGAAAGCAGCTAGCTATAATTTCGATGATTCTTTTACACACCATACAACACTAAAGGGGTGAAACTTCGCTAGCCCGGCAGTTCGATAAAGCAGTTCTAAGCGGGCGTTTGCGTGTGCGTGTTTGTGTGTGTTGTGTGTGTTATGTGTATGTGTGTGTGGTAGGACAACTTCAAGTTGAGTAAGAACATGAGAAATGAGTGACCACTGCGGCCAGCCGAAGTGCAATAAAACGGCACTGCAAGAGGCTGAAGTGAGTCAGAAGAAAGTTACGCTGCCGAGAAAGTTCAAGTGGACGCGAGTTTTGAAGTGTGAAAAAAAATAAAAATAAAAAAAAAGGTGCTGTGTTAAAGTTTTGTAAGAAAATATAAAACGGTTCGCGCAAGTGCAACTAGCGGTTTTTAGGTTCCGTGATTTTTGGGTACCGTCAATTAAACGGGCTATTATTGAATTGTTAGACTAAAAGTATTTGGAATTTGAGGTAAGTTTTGATGATAGCCACATTGAAATTATTTTAAATATAGGGAACTTAGTGTGAATTTGCGTAGGCAGGTACATACGCATGTGCATATAAGTCCTAATGTATGTACGCACAGAACTGCGTATACAAAAGTATATACATATGTACATGTGTATGCATAGCAAGGCCAGTGCAGATGGAGATTAATGCTAAGAAAAGTCCCTAAGAAAAATTATGCAATGACAAATGTACGTAAGACTTTTTTAATATCTTCCAGGTCGCCGGTACGGACGTACAAAAGGACTTCAGTAGAAAAAGTACTCAAATACACGCCACGACAACCTGCTGTAAGTGCCCCCGACACATAGCACATCCACGAGCACTACTTGCCACAGCGCTAGCAAAAGGCACCGATAGCTACGACGATAACGTCGAAGAATTTAGCGAAGTACTACACACATCCATATGTACATGCAACATTTGCTGGGAAAACAACAAGTCTTTACAAGGAAGTACGGATATAAATACCCATACCTACATACATACACATACGTAAGGAGATATTTCGGCATCACATCCGCAAGCGACAAAATACAGGAAACAAAAGGGCAAAAACAACAATAAAACGATCAGCTGGCCGGATTACATAGAGGTGGGAGCGGGTCAACGGCCGCTGCACAAAATTCGAACACTTGGAAGCTGGAGGTACATAGAGTGAGGGAAGCTGAAAAAGTGAAGAGCAGACTAGAACTCACCTGGAACAAGTAAGCAGAACTGGGGAGAGTGGGCTGAATTGCAGTGAGCGAACATTCGCCAGCACCAGCCACGTATATATGTACATACATCGTCGCGCGGTCAGCAACGGCGAGATCGCCCAACGAAAGCCGATAGCAACCGCGCCGCCGCGACCAGCAGCGCAGCAGAACCGACTACGTCACCATTGCTTTTGGTTGTTGCTGTTTTTCGCACGTTTTTTTTTGTAAGGGATTTTTTTTGAAACCATTTTTTTTTTTTCAGTAATTTGCACTTTGATTAATTTGGATTTGTAACTTTAATTCTTAATGACAACTTGCGACTGTGTGCTTAGTTTTTTTCTTTTAATGCCGATTTTGCTTATTTCGTTTGTTGCCTTATTTTACCTTATCACACCATTCGCAATATCACTTCGCACTTGATTTAACTTTCGTACTAGCAATATAGTTTGGGTTTTTTTTTTATATACGTATAGTCGGATAGTTATATTTCTTATTTTTTTTGCAATCCGAGTGAATATTTCTGCTTTTTAATTTATATTTACGCAAATCTTAGAAATTAATTGTCGGAAAGCGTACTGCACGTGTGACTCGCTCGCTGCCCGCAAACACGAGCGAGTGACCAAAGCAACAAGTAGCGCAGGTCGTCAGACCTCAGCTGGCCGCTAATACCTATATATCTATGTATGTGCATGTATGTCGATTTCCAGCCCTTTTCAGCGTCCTCTCTACATGTTGGTACCAGCATCGTGGGAATGCTAAAGGTGAGTGAGAAGATAATTTAATACGCACCTACTTATGTACATATATACATATATATACATACGTATATAATATATATTTATACCCGAGCGCACTTGTGCACAAGGGTATATTAATTTTGTTCACATAACGGTTGTTTGTAACAGCCAAAACGAATCGAGATAGATATAGACAAATGTATACATAAATGATCAGGATGAAAAAAGAAATCGATTAAGCCATGTCTGTCTGTCCGTCCGTCTGTCCGTCTGTCCGTCTGTCCGTCTGTCCGTCTGTCCGTGTACACGATAACTCGAGCAAAAATTGAGATATCTCAACGAAATTTGGTATGTAGGTTTCCCTTAATCCAAGGTAGGTTGGTATTGAAAATGGGCGAAATCGGACTTTAACCACGCCCACTTCCCATATAACGGTAATTTCCAGAAATACGAAAACTGCGATATTTTAGTAACTACTGAAGATAATGCACTCAAAATTGATATTTACAATAATTTTTAGACGAAAAATAAGAATATTATAAATTTTTGGAAAATGGGCGTAGCCACGCCCACTTATGGTTACATATGTATATCTCGGTAACCGCTGCACCAATTTCTTCCAACCTTGGCACAGTTGTTGGCCTTTACATAACATACCAAATGGCTGAAAATTTTTAAAATCGCTCAATAACCACGCCTACTTCCCATATAACGGTAATTTTCAGAAATACGAAAACTGCGATATTTTAGTAACTACTGGAGATTATTCACTCAAAATTGATATTTATAATAAGTTTTAGACGAAAAATAAGAATATTATAAATTTTTGGAAAATGGGCGTAGCCACGCCCACTTATGGTTACATATGTATATCTCAGTAACCGCTGCACCAATTTCTTCCAAACTTGGCACAGTTGTTGGCCTTGGTACAGCATAAAAAGCCGCCGAAACTTTTTAAAATCGGACAATAACCACGCCCACATCCCATATAACGGTAATTTAGAGAAATACAAAATCTTCGATAAATCATTAAATATTGAAGCTAATTTATTCAAAATTGATGCTTGCAACAATTCTTTACCAAGAAATACGTTTATGGTAAAGTTTTGGAAAATGGGCGTGGCACCGCCCACTTATGATCACATATAAGTATATCGGTAACCGTTCTACCAATTTGTACCAAACTCGGTATGGTTATTGTACTTGCCACGTGTAAGCAAAACGTTGAAAATTATTGAAATCGGACTAAAATAACGGCCGATTCTCATATAACGGTAAATTTAAGAAATGCTTGAAACTTCAATATTTCGAAATTGAAGGACGCTAATTTACTCAAAATTGATACACCTCGGCTTACTATCTAGCGGAAGGTTTCGGAAGGGTGAAAAAACATATATTTAATACATGCGCCGGGTATTTAATGTTCGGCTCCGCCCGAACTTAGACTTTCTTACTTGTTTTTTTTTGTTTTGGTTACTGCGTTCCATAGTGCTAAATATTCGCGGCTATTCTTCTTTTGCATATACATACGGAAGTACATATGCGTATGTTCATTAAAGCACTAGAAATATTGAAATAGGGGCATTCACATAAGCATATTAAATCAAGAAAATAGAAGAGAAATTGCAATTTACTAAGTTCTGAAGTATTTATCCCGCGTTTGAAGTCATTTTTAATTTAGTTAAATATTTGTTTTTATTGTTTATTAATTCCATCCCGCTTTATTAGCATAGCGAACTTGTATTTTTTTTATACATTTCTGCACATATATCAATATTTTTTAATTTTTTTGAGAATTTTTGTAATTAGCCTAACTTTGTTGAGAGTTTTGCCATATGAATTTTGATAAGCGAAATCAATTGCTTTTGAATTCTTGAATTTCCTTAGATGTAATGGAGTAGGTATACATAGGATTAAAGATTTTCTTGTGAATATTTAGAAATAAATCATAACTATAAAATAAAAACAAGGTCAATGAATTTACCTGTAATTTTATTGCTATCCAGTTGAGAGGTTAAAGAGTCCTAAAAATGGAATGGTAAACCTATAGAGTTTGGTGTGGGTGTTACACTCAGGCCTAAGAGGGGACGTGAGGGCACTGACAGATTGACAGGACAGGTACAGGACTGATGAATTAGTGGACAGACATACAAGGTCAGGACTAGGGGGCGTTGCAACGTTAATAGGAGTCGACGCGACGCCCATGGCTGCGTATGCGAGGCACGCAGAGGGGGTGGGACGACTCCACCTGACTGGACAGGCCTTCTTCTTTAGTTATCACGTTTTTTTCTGTTTATGTCATCTCGAGTTCTTTTTTTTTCACTGCAAAGAGTAGGTAAGGTGCGCGGAAACAACCCCCCCGTACGGCGAGCTAGCCTGGGCCCGCAACCATGCCTGGAAACCGCCTCGCCTTAACCAACAGTCATCCCGCATAACAATGGCGCCCAACGGTAATAGCCCAATAGTTTTTTTGTATTTTCCCATGGTTTTCAATTATACTCTTAACTCTTTTTCTTCTTCTATTACTTTTCCCGCTTCCTTCTTCTTAGCTTCTTTTTTTTCTATTTCTGACCTTCTATCGGAAGAGTTAGGGTCACGAAGGCATCGTCACTTTCGGCCACAGGAAGTGACTAGTGCTTGAGTGACTAACCTGGGGGGAGTGAACATCACAACTTCGAAGTGCCTTCGTTGTTGTTCAACACACTGATGAAGTGGGATTCGAAGTTGTGGTGTCACATTAGTTCTGTTATTTAATTTAGTGGAGACAAGCTATGAGCTACCTAGTATGCGATCCAGCACCGCGTGCTAGTGAGGTTCATAGCGAGTCTTCACAGGGGGTAATGGGGGTAAGTGTGGCATCCACCGTTGGAGCTACGGCACTGGCGGTTGACATGCCACACTAGATTGAAGAGTAGGTAGGGGTTAGGTGACTTCAATACAGGAAAAGTACACACGGACTTAACGCTCTCACAATGACCTTGCTGAGTGTAACACCACCCACACACCAAAGCATTCATTATTACATAGCAACAACAAATATTACCGATACTTGTGTTTAAATACTTACTTATAAAATAAGATAAAAGTAAACGAGAAGAAGTAAACATTAATCCGGTTATTTAAACTGAAACAAATATCGGCGTTTTATTTTTTTTTATTTTTTATTTATTTTTTTTTCCTCTCATTTCTTTCTTCATATTTTTTTGTTATTCTCCATTGTAATGCTTATTTTAGTATTGCATGCATATTATTCCCACCATCATAATAATATATGATTCTTATTGTTTTTTACTATTACATATGTACATACGGTAATCTCTGAATTTTTTTCCGTCTTGGATTTTTTTAAATTAAATTAAGGATTCTTTTATTTTTATTTTCATGCTTAAACTTTGAATTTGGATTTCAGCTTCATTTAAGTACTTTAAGGGTTTCTGCTCGGATTAAGTAGTTTGTTCGAATATTATTTAATTTAAATACTTGAAGTGAGTACAGATTTTTTATATTTTGTTTTGATTTTACCTTAAAATTTCTAAGCTTAAACCTGAATTTTAAGTTTTAAATTTTTTTTGCACCCTTCACAATAATTTTTTCCTTTTATGGTTAAACTTTTTTCTTTGAATTCGTGAGTTAAATTTTTCCTAATTGTATTAATTTTCATTTCAAGCGAATCCGCGATTGGATTTTCATAAACATATTTTGGTTTTTAAGGTTAGATTTGTTTTAGTTTTTTTTTTCAGTTTAAAATTTATTTGGATTTACCTTGAGTTACTTTCTTGAATTTTTGTGTCGATATCATTTCTTCTTGGATTTTTATCTAGTTGCTTCGATTTTGAAATTTGAGTTTTTGGATTTGGAGTTTTAAATTTTGAATTGTGGTTTTGAATTAGACTTGAATTCCTGAAGGGCGGAAGTAAGATCTTAATTTGACTCCGATCGTGAGTTGATGGAAGAACAAGAGGGCGAAGAGAGAGTGATTGCAGGAGGACTAGGTCTGTTTGGTTCGAACCGCAGGGTTACTAGAAGCGTAGCGAGAGCCCTTGAGAATCAAGTGGTTGGTTCTTTATTCACTCAAATTGATACTGGCATTCCACATCCGGTGGACTTTCTTCCCACCGACTATTTAAGTAGGTGTGCAGCGCGAATTTTTGGGACTGCTAGCCAGGAGTCGCGCCAACCAGCAATAAGAGTGACCAGTGAAATAGATTTTAATTCTACGGATAATAGTCTCACTTTCTCAAGGAAAATTGAGGAACTTTGCCAGATGTCTGAAGAGGAGAATTCGGGGTCAAACATGCCACAAGGCGATCAAAGACCAGGAGGCTCAAAGTCTCAAAGTGGTGGGGCGAGTTCTGCATCCGTCAATGTCGAGCAGCTGAGCCGTATGATGGCGATGATGGCGCAACAAAACGACATGATGGCGGAATGTATGAACGAGGTCCGCCACATGAGAGGCAATGTTGCTAACCTCAACAATAGGGTGGCAGAAGTGGAGACGTCGGTGCGAGCCCCTGGGAATGCGCCAACCATGGCATCGACACCCGAAGCAACAAGGCAAAACCCTACAGCGGGCCAACTGAGTGCAGGAAAAGGGTCCATTCATGATGGCAACTCGCGGTCAAGCAATGAATCAAGGGCTTGGAAAAAGGTAGACCTAGAAAAATGGCATATTAAGTTTGACGGTACATCGAAGGGTATAACAGTGGAAAGTTTTATATTTCGGGTAGAGAAAATGCGAGCTCAATATGACATCTCCTACTACCAGCTGTTTACTGATTTCCACTGCTTGGTCACCGGGAGCGCCCTGAAGTGGTACTGGCAAGTGCTCGAAGACCATGCCGAAGATCCGGACTTCGGGTACGTTGAGCTTAAAGCCGAGTTGCTGGGCCACTTCAGGACTGCTGAGTCGGATTATGAGGTGATCCGAGAGATTATGGAGAGGAAGCAGACTCCGCAGGAAACCTTCGAGGAGTTTTATAGTGATGTACACAATTTAACCTTCCGTCTCAAGAAAAAGATCCCGG